TGATTTCTCAGGTGCACTGTCCCACTTTTTGATTTTTTTGCACAGTATTCCAGCTTGTCTTTCCCACCACATCCTAACCAATCATAAAACACTCCCACCAAAACCAAACTTGGTCCGGATCTAAAATTTACATGTCCTATCGGCAGAGAGGACCTGCCAGGAACCTATTTTTTCCTGGAGGGCACCTTAAAAGCTCAAGCAAAAGTATAATGCTCCCATCAAACACAATCGCTTTCTCATCAATTCATCACTCAATCCATCAAATTCCCTTGATTATATTTTTCTTGACATGCTTTCAGAGATTGTGTCGATTGTGTGTGGGGGAGAAAAAAAACGTGTTTATATGAATATAGGCTTTTCCTTTAGTAAAGAAGCACCTCGCCGCACAGTGTGGGAATCTAAAGAAACCACGATGATCATATACGATGATCATAGGCCCGCGTTTCACGGACTTTGTGGCCACGACTCTGCCTGCGGTGACCTTCGGAAATAATGACTCCCTGACATGAACCATTCCATACCGTGTGGTTTGTCCAGTTCATTCCATCTCCAAACAACCCAAACCAACCACCAACACCAAAAACAATATGATTCCAGGCAACAACATATAGGTTCTCTATAAGGTCATAGGATGACCTGCAATTATTTCCGAGGTCCGCAGCCCACGAGAGAACCTACAAAGTCCTACATCATTAGTAGAGAGACTTCCAGGCTTTCCCAGGTCCGCAGCCCCATCCCAGGTCCGGCTTTAGAACGAGGTTCAGCCGTGATTTCGAAGGACTCGGTTGGTCCAACCGATCAAAAAATCCCAAGTGACTCTTCCACCATGTCATAGACCACAATTCCTCGTGAGAGGCCTGGATCAACCATCTCGTGCAGGTCCTCCAGGTTTTTGGAGTTGCAAGGAGTTCTGAGGGTTGGAGCCCTAGGTTGGTACGTTTCTGAGGGTACGAAAAGTACATGCCTCCGGGGGGCATGTTGGTTTCATCAAGTTGGTTTCGTCAGATGAGTCAGACAGTTTAAAAGCAACTTTTGTTTTAGCTGGTCCGCAAAATGTGAAGAGAGATGCTCTTACTTGTCAAGTGAAGGATGGTGAACACCATGTGAGGCCTGTCATCAGAAGGTTCTGATCTAAAGAAGTGTTCAGTCCTCCCGAGTCCTTTAAGAATCTTCAAAGAAAGTTCCCGTCTCTGAATGATCCTCCCACATCAGCCTCCTGCCTCACTTCTCTTGGCTCTTGGACTCGTTTCATTCAACTCCGAGTGAGGGTGATCCTCAACCTGGTGAGGAGGTTTGGAAAAGACGGCAAGCCTAATTGTATACATGTTTAGTCCCCACGTATCATTCCGCCACCTCCGTTCTTTCGTTCTCCTCCTCCACCTCCACCGGGCTGGATGTGGTCGACGTGGTCTCCGAAGCCATGGCTCAAAAACAGGGTGGATGGGCCGATGGGCTGAGAGGCGCACGTGATCTGGGGCAAGCTGAGCGAGCTGCGGCGGCGATCTGGGGTAGGCGATGGGGACCGAGCGGCGCGGCTGATGGGAATCCGAGGTGCAAAAAGAGCTTCACTGAGCTGAGAACATTGGCACAGGCCGCATTTGTGAAGTTGGAAGCTCTAACCTCACCAAATTACCAAAACCTAGTATTTGGGGGCCTTCTACTCTGCACATCCGCGAGCTTGGTAGTTCTTGTGAAGTTGGGAGGACACATCCCAAAGAACGTTTCTGCAAATATACGCTAATATATGTATATATATATACATATTATATAATTCAACGGCTTTGCAATGTTCATCCAAGTTTTCAAGAAACCTCACTTAGACATCCACATACCTATATCAGAACGATTCGCACAAATCCCAAGCGGCCTTGGAATCTTCTTCGGAAAGGGGGAGAGAAACCTCCTCGATGGATTTTCCCCCGATTTTGGCCGGACACCAAACACCAAACATGGCTGCCTAGGACACCAAAAGAATCCAAGACATGTTGTTTGTAAAGTCAGCCAAGTAGTCGAACCCTGGCCATGCCATGCCAGGGGTCTCACCCACAAGACGAACGTCCGCGGATTCGAAGGTCCCGCGGGCGGTCTCCGTTTGGTTCGGCGCCACGTCCCCGGTCTGCGGCCAAGACGCCAGCTGAACCACGTCTCGACCCTGGGCCACCATGGAGCCACAGTCTGAGATTGGACGTCATAGGTCATAGGAGGTCATAGGTTCCCAAGAAAAGAAACACATCTTTAAGCTAGTCAAAGGACAGGCGCGGACATTGGCTAGACAAATCTGATATATCAACTCCCGGTCATCTATGGCGTCAGCTACCAGTGGCCACGAGGATATCGAGGATTGGCGACTTTCCTCTACAAACATTGTTATTAGGAACAGAAGCTATTCAGGGCTCCTGGCCTTACTAGGAGCAAGAAGCTACTAGGGGCTCCTGGCATCGCTACTAGGAGCAAGGACGCTATTAGTAGCCAGGTGGTTTTCCATGTCCGTTTGGGTGCCAAAATGCTCCGCCACTCACGCCCACCCCACTGGTGTGTGGCGGTCCGAGATGCCGCAGTGATCCGCCTAGCGATGCTTGGTCCCGGGCCGGCGAAACGAAATGATGGACAAGGCCCGTTCAGAAAATGTAGTCTATCAAATGGTTTTTTTTGTGTCATATTACAGTATGTCATATTGGACAATACCACATCAGCAGGGCATGGGCTAGAACCAGTTGTAAAGGACATGGCCACTTGAGAAAGTCGATTGGCTCGCTTGCCGAGAGAGGACATTGGCAGCGAGAACATGGGTGGGTTGCATGCTATATATATATATATATATGCTGGGTGCAAATCACATGGAAGTTATGGCGTCAAAGGACATAAGGAATAGAGTAGGTAAGTCCTATGTCATGTGAAAAACGTGGGATCTTTGTGGATGTGGAACACGTGCACCCTGGCTTGTTCAAACCCATTCCAGCAAGTCCCAGTGTCAGAAGTAGTTGAAGGAGGTGAATTGCTCCGGTGAGAGGAACCAACTGGCCAGGTAAGTAGTCATGTGACATGTCAAGAAACATGGTGCCCCCACGCGACCTAAGGCAGGCAGGTCAGTAGTAGTGATGAAATACAGTATGATTTTCCATGTCGTTCAATCGCTGTCACAATTTTGGGTTCATCCACTACTGGTCCAAACATCATATCTGAGATAATATGCAGTCATGACTCATGACCAAAAAAACTACCTGCAATTAAGAAGAATGACAAAGGTGAGGCAAGGTTTCTAGCCACAAAAAACAATGGGGGCATCTTGAAACAGTGGCTCACGATACATGGTTGTGGGTCAAACCCAGAATCCCTTGGTTGACCTACCGACGAGACTTGCCCTCCAATGATCCTGCGCTTCCCATGGGCCCTTCACCATAGGGTGGACCAGGCTCCAGGTATTGACCCATCCCCACATGGGTATAATGGCAATGCCTGAGGACCTCACAAACATCCCGATGTGATAGAATGGCGCTTCGCAATGTTTCGCATGTACGGCTCACCCCTGGGCCAAACCCCAAGTCTCCTCGCTCCCTGCCAGTCCCAGTCAGGCAAACCACATTGAACGTGCAAAATATAAATGTGTTCTGATAACATTCATATTATGGAGATTATGTAGACGCTTCAGTACGTACAAAAAAAAGGCAAGCAAACACGTGAGTGGTCCAATTTCCCTATCGTCTACCAACAGCATTTGCTCATTCACACCCCCTACCAATGAATCCTAGCCTCCACTGCACTAATAACAAGGATTCCCAGCTTCAGTTTATTTTCCTTTGGAAACACATCAGTGTTTGCAGACTTCAGTGGTAGCTGATGGTAGCTGGATAGATTGGGCATGTTCCATTGGACCCTTTTCCACCTTTGCAGAGTCGCCTTGATCAGTTCAGTGTGCTGGTGACCAGCATGCTAATGACTGCATTGTGCATTGTCTTCACATTGTCTTCCAGGGCGGCACAGTACGCTCGGAGTCCCGCAAGGCGGAACCGCGAGAGGGTCTATACACCGGTGAGAAAACGAGACATGGCGATTTCAACTTGAACAGGCTGAACTGTTGAATCAGCGTGGTTGCACCGTCACAAGTGAACAATAGTTAACAAGGCCAGGTCCCCAAATGCAACCATGTCAGGCAAACAAATCATGCAAGTACTATGTTCCTCCATCTCTGGATTCGGAGGGTGGGATTGTGCACCAAGTAAAGTCTATCTAGGAGCATCGAGTCAATCAAAGACGGGGATACACAATGAAGATACAAACCCCGCTATCCCTTCGCGCAGTAATACCTATAACAAGAAGTGTTGTGCCGTGCTACAAGAACAAGCCCAAAGCACAATCTCCGTCATTCCACAATATAATAGTTTTTTTAGGGTGTGCTGCTGGGAAAAATGGGTACATACACACAGATTGATGCATTTTCAAGCGTGCACACACCACAAGCAAGAAGCCAAAGGTAGGATCATAAGTTATAAGAGCAACAAAACACCATCCTGGTTGGTGCCTACAGCATCTAAAACTTCCATGGAACATCGGAAGGCTTCATGTCTCAAAAGGCCAAACTCTTTTGGTATCACAAAGCTGTCGGAGTCGACGGCAGCTTCCTTGACCAGGTCCATCATTTCCCACCAATAATCATCAATGTTCCAGGTCGAGGGTTAGGGGCAAATTTGTGCAAGCGGAATGAATGCATGGATTCTGAGCCAGGTTATAGAAGAGATTGTCGCTCTACCACATCAAATCTTGAAACATATCTGTTGTCCAGAGAAGAATCTTCACTCTGACCTCACTTCTGACCACAACAACACAAAGACAGGTTCAAAGACGCTCTCGACTTATATAACTCATTGGATCCTAGGGGGAACAAGCATAGAATTGGCCAGGCTAGGGGTGTCTATTTGTTCAACCTCTGTAGGACACCGCCCTGGCTCTGTCGTCTGCACCGCCCTGGCTCTCTCTAAACACCCGGCTAGGATTTGCCGCCGTCAGCTGGCCCCACAGCAGCGCGCTGAGAGGCGTCCCAGCATCTGCCCACAGCCGGGTGGCGCTGACTTCGGCACGCCATCGAGGGGCGCCACCTGCAGGAAAGCTCCCCGTGTAGGAGGTGGGTGATTGGAGGATGAGATAGATAGGATTGGGATGATTCCTACAGGGAAAGCGAGTGGGAAGGGTAGGGATGCCTCCCCCATCTATCATCTGTGTGCGAACAATGTCGAGAGGAAAAACACAGGGAGAGAGAAAAAATAAGGGGGAGAGGAACAAGTAGTTTTGCAGAAAACTAGTTCCAATATGTTCTAATCAAGTAGCTGGCTAGACGATCTGATGATTTTAATTCATCCAGATTCTCCGGGTCTAACGGTCTAACAAAGGGCTCTCAACTCAACCCCAAGATTTCCAAAGTACTCCAACAATTCCCACCTTCTTTTCAGTGCTCACTTCATCCACCTTCCTCTCCATCTGCTCCAGCTCCACCGGTGGCTCCACCGGTGGCTCCACTGGCGCCACTGCCTTCGGTGCCGCCGGCATCGGCGCAGGCTGCGCGGGCTGCGGCGGCGGGGGGGATTGCGGCGGCTCGTCGGAGGGCACGGCCTCAGCGGGATTTTGGACCGGAACCTTTTCTGTTGTTCCAAACGGAATTAAATTTGGAATATATACATATTTTATCATATTTTTATACAGTATCTTTTCAGGAGATTGGACTATTCCAATCTCCTTGAGCTCAAACGCACACACAATCAGACACATACGTTCGTATGTTGTACAGGTGCTTTTCCTATTCCAGGTGATCCAATGACCCAACTGCTCCCCAACCAGTTGGGAGTTTCCCCCACTTTCTACTTTTTCTCTGCCGTGCCCTCATCAACCGTCTCCCCTCCGGTCTCCTGAACACTGAAGGCCGCCGCCGCTGCGGAGGATTCGAAGTCCACCTCAAAGGCTTCAGGCGCTGGCGCGAGCGGCGGCCGCGGCTCTTCCACCGCCGAGACTTGCGACTCAGTGCGGAGGTAGCCCTTGGTCTCAATGGCCTGGGCAAGCGAGGATGGCAGAAAGTCACAGGGAAAATGCTGGAATTATGGAAAGTGATTTTGAGAGCTTTTGTGGCACAAAACCAGGTTTTCGACGTTGGGTTTTGACGTTCTCTTTCTAGTGGATTGTCTCCCCAATTGCCGGAGGCATTAGCCACACCTGCATCCACACTATAGTCCCAACATCTGCATCGAATACATCGAGCACTCTGCGGGCAACACCTTAAAACTCGGAAGAAGGTTTGATCTTTGACTCAAATCACTGCAGGTGACAGGGTGACATGCCCACATCGTTTTGCACCTCTCCCCACGCGAGTCTTTAACACCAAGAGTCAAGTGAGGTATGAAGGCGGGCCCCAATAAAAACAACACTTAAGGACTTAAGACTTAAGTCGAACAAAACATATGTTTTGGTGGTCTTCACTTCCGCCTCAATATGTTGAGGTGACCACTCAGTGTCGGTTCCCCTACCGTAAGCTGCGACCTGCCATTGGAACCCCTCCAAAAAAAGGTGCCCTGCGAATCCCTGCGACGCTGTCGGACTCGTCCCAGCGACGATTTGGCTTCCTAAAGAGCTGCCCTTCTTCAAGATCTTCCGCGTTCGCCCCGCCGGGATCACCGGCGCAGTCTTCTCGACCTGCAGCAGCCTGAGCAAAGCAGCTCCATCCGATTGAAGAAAAAACACAACGATGCAAACTTAGATCGATGCTTGGCATCACACCTTTAGTGTCCTGGCTGCAGTTCCATCGCTTCTCGATTCCAGTTTTATGCCAGGTTGACGATGCCTAAAACCCCCCCCCGAGGGATGATCAAGACTTGACAAACATTCTGGAAATCCAGCTATGGAATTCCTATAGGTGTCATGTCAATCGTCAATACTTAGTTCAGGACAAAAACTTGGGGAGGCAAAATAATGGCGTGCTTGTTTAACGTCCAATTGCAAGAAGGTACCCAAACCGCCACATCCCCTCCTACTCCAACGAAGGGAAGTAAATGCCATCCCATGAGTTCCATGTTCCAACCTCTCTTGGATCTTCTTCAGCTCCATCCTTAGCTCCTGGGTCTTCTGGAGCCATTAAATCAAATCACAACTTCTGTAGGTTCCAATCGGGGGTGCCAAACACACACTTGAGATTATGCGTGCTGATTTGGTTGCGGTTTGCCACACGCCAGCCGAACCTAAGAAGCCAGGGTGAATAAAGGTATGGCGTCTCAATTCGTCAAAGCACAAAGTTCTGAAATCTCGAAAAGCAAGGTCTCCAAAGCTCGACGAAGGATCGAACGGCGAGCACTTGTCTGCAGACCTGTCATCCCCTAAACAGCCTGACTTCTAGAGGAGAGCATAGTTACCAAACGCCACACACTTCAGCAGGTACACGGAGGTGATCAATCTCCGCTTTTGCTGTGGAATAGCTTCGTTGGCACAGGTATCCACGATGGGCCTGTGCCCCCTGTTATTTACAATCCAATCGGATCCATTGCAAGGGTTACACACACACATGCACCAACACACCAAGCAAAAGCCGTGATGTCCAAGGATGAAGGGCGTCCCCCCAAAAAGGTATACACCACCCCAGCCCCAAAGAAATTAATCCACTGTCAAAAGCCCCTGCTAAGAAGGAAGTTGGACCATCCAAACACACCAATAATTGCCAATGATTACGTCACGCCCCAAGCCTAGGGAATCTGAAGGAGGTGACAGTGGATCTCTAAAATCTGAACACATATAACATGAACTATGATATTTTTGATTTGATATGAACCACTATCAGTTGTCATGCGGTCATGATGCCTCTCACATCCCAGGTCTCCTTATAGCGCTTGGCCGCCATGCTGACCTCCTGACACCCCGAGGCCATGGGCCCATCGAGGGATTCGGCTGCGAACTGCACCGCCTCGCGCCAGAACTGGTCAGACAGTTTCATCGTGCTGCTGATGATGTTCTTGATGTTCCTCAGAAAATCTCAGGAATGCGACTGACGCTGCAGAGATCTGCTGACGCCCTGACGCCCTGCGGCCCTGCCCACCGACTGACTCACTTCTTTTTTGTGCAACCTGTGGTTTTCTGGTGACAAATTCGACCACCACTTATGGCGCAAAGGGCGTGTGTAAAGGCAGCTGGGGGGAGCGTGAGATGTTTTCCTGTTTGGTAGCTGTTCTACCGTCGAATGTGGCTCACGCATGCTCACGCCATGGTTTGGGGTGGTTGGTGCGAGTGGCATAGACAACACCTGCACAGGATCTGGTGGGCCGGTTTGTGAACGGACGGCGCCGACGGTCTTGGAGCCTGGTGACCTTCCTTCCAGTTGGGGCCTGTTTGACAGGATCTGAAACTGAATACGAATCCTGTAAGTTATATCCTATTCCCTGTAACAGTGGATGATCAGGGTTAGGTTCAAGGCCTTTCTCTAAAATAGTGATATATATATATAATATTATATATATGGATTATAATTGTTTACCGACTTGTTACAGGCAATAAGTCACCCCCAACTTCTAAGGCTTTATGATTTTGGAGTGGCCTGGAGCCCGAACGTGACCGAAACCATGCCAAGGCGGGCGTGATACCAATTCATCTGAATTCACTGGATATCTCTTAGACTGAGACCTGTGAAAGCTACTGAGACCTGTGAGAAGCCTTGACGTTGCAACTTTTGACACGACACAGTCACGACACATCCATCTCTTTAAGGTGACTCTTCCACCACTACGCCCAAAAGAAACCCAAAGAAATCTGCCACATCTGCCGACCAGATTCTGCAAAGAGCCCGAATCCTGCACTAGGAATGCCACATCCTCACCATAGATGGATGAATGCAATCCATTGAACAACTCCTCGAGGTACCGGCCCCTGAGCCTCTCGACGTCCAAGCCTGACAGCTTCGCGAACGGTCAGCCGAGTTCGCTGGTGCTTCCGACTTCCTGGTTCCCCTGGCTCACCTGGGTTTTGGGATGTTTGGGGTGCCCAAGAGTGCAAAACCATGCAACACCCATCGGTGCCTCCAGTCTGTGCAGCACTCCTCCTCCATCCACCGCGGCGAGCTCTATGCCATCTACTTCAGCAACGTACACACGACGCCCAAATCACTGGCATCTGCCACGACAACCCCGCCCGTAACAAACTCCAAATGTTGCACCAAGTTGATTTTGTCCGAGCCACAACAATAGGCCACACGATCTTTCATTCCAATCAGCCGCAACTGGCAGCCATCCATCTCCTAGGCCAGTTATCCCGCCAACGTCCGCCAACCATGACAGCAGGTGCAGATCTAGAAGACCGCGTCTCCACAGAAAAGACATATGGACAGGAAGACTTGAAGACATAGTAAGACAGTATGGACATGATTTGCATAAACAGCCATTCCTGATCACGAAGCTAGCAGCTAGCTTGCTGGGACACCCTTCAAAAATTCTGCACCACGGCCGCAAGTCACTCTAGGCCTCTAGGCTGGTGGGATGGAAGATCTGTCAGGTGCGCAAAGTTCTAGAGTATCCGAAATCCGAATCCACTCAAGTGGTAGAAAATATAACGTAACAATATATAGAATAAATTCAATCAATACGCTCCGGTGCCGGTGTGCCAAAGGTTTCTTGACAAATCCGGACAGGCATGATCAAACGTCGACCGGATAGATCGGTTTCGTGCCAGGTCTCCTGAGCATCCTGCAAGCGTCTGGATAGAGTGGTCTCCAGATCACCTTGGTGAAGGTCGGTGAGTCACCTGATCAATCGGTAGACTGTATGAACTAAGTGAATCTATGACCTTTGTTCTTAGGCGTTCTTAAGCCTTTGGAACCTCATTCGCACACCGCCTCATCTAGACCTTTCAGGCAAAGACCAGCCGAAGACACTGGCGATGGATAAAGCTTCGCTCAGGAAGGGTGGGATCATTCCATTGGCCTCCTGGCACAAGGAATCGGATACTGCACAAGCGATGGAACATCTATTCCTCGGCACCAGCGATCATTTTCCAGGTGAGGGACGGTCAACACTCCTTATTATTATTAGTATTATTCAACTTAAACATGGACGTCATCGGTTTTGGAATTGACCTTATCGTTTTACAGTGTTTTGATTTCTCCATATACAGTGCTGGGGTTATCGGTTTTGAAGTGGACCTTATCGTTTTGCAGGGTTTTGCGCACAAACCTGCTCCTCTTTACTAAAGTGGTCTTCGCATGTTTGGACCAAAAACGCCAGGTGTTGTCTGGCCTTTCCCGAGGGATTTAGGGGGGTGACACAGCATGACACACCCAAATACCTGGACCTCCAAGTCCTTTGAACCCTAAGGGTTGGTGAACAACAACCGGGCTCGTCACCAATTCAATTGGCACCTCTGAAATAGGGTGTCCTGACTGGGCCGAACTTCCACACTGCCACACACCTGCAATCCACCGCTCCTGCGCTCGTCGATCGAAATCCTTCCGCAGCGCCACAATGGAGGCGACGGTGGCAGTTAAGGCCTCTGCATTTTGGTGTCGGTCTGATGATCTGAGCAGTCTGGAAGGTCTTGTCAGATGGACTTCAAGCTTTAGCCAGATCATTTAAAAGATGGATTTCACGTTTCGAGATATAACAATCAGTTGGATCTGAAGCTTTCCTTATGAATTTCTTGTTCCTCTGATCAGTCTGATGATTTGGTTTCAGAGTAGGGACATTATTCCCCACCTGGAAAAGGAAGTGCTCATCTGGCCCAAAGACTGAGAAGGGCTATATACTTTCGAAGTGGCTGAGTCCCACTAACAGTGAGCACAATCGATGAGCACAAAAGCAGCACCAGGAAAATTGAAAAAAAAAGGTCTGGGTCCAATCAAATCTCCCATGCACTGCAAAGACTCTCCTGCTTTCATTTTGAAATGTGGGGCTGGTCCCGGCTGGCCTGGGCTAGTGGCTCTGCTTTCATTTGAAATGTGGGGTGGGTCCCTGGCTGGTTTGGGCTGGTGGCCCTGCTTTCATTTGGAAATGTGGGGCTGGTCCCTGGCTGGCCTGGGCTGGTGGCTCTGCTTTCATTTTGAAATGTGGGCTGGTCCCTGGGCTGGTGGCTCTGATTCTCGATTTCGTCAAATCTGGTGCTAGAATTCGTCAAATCCGGTGCTCGATTTCGCCAAATCTGGTGCTCGATTTCGTCAAATCTGGTGCTAGAATTCTTCAAATCTGGTGCTCGATTTCGCAAAACCTGCTGATTTTCTGGAAATTCTGCCCAGGGCGGAGACACAATCCAACTCAAACTCAAAAATCA